TATTAAAAATCATGAGCCATAAAGGTTTACAATAATCAACATTAGTAACAAATTGATTAGCGATGGCATCCTCAACTCTGCGTATTGCAACTCTAGCCTCCTCAGTAAGTTCTCTGGATGAAGTTGGCTTTGCATCCCCTTTAAGGATGTCAAAGAGAGGCTTCAAGTCACCAGTAGTCAATTTCAAGTAAGGACGTAGCCAATTAATATCACCCAATAGCTTTTGGAAATCATTCAAAGTTAGTAATTTATCAAGTCTAAGAATAGCCTTTTGATTTGTTATCCTTTGTCCATCAAGTTGAAAACCTAAATAAGAATAAGGATCTTGCATTTGCACCTACTCAGGAGCAATTTGCAAACCCGCATCCAACAAATCAGATTTCAATTGAGCAAAACATCGCAACACCTCTTCTCCTGATGCACCTGCTATCAGGATATCATCCATATAATGAATTATGTACATGGAAGGCCAAAAAGCTCTAGTATTTTGAAGAGCTGTAGCTACAAACTTCTGACAAAGAGTAGGGCTATTGGCCATTCTTTGAGGCAAAACCTTCCACTGACATCTTTTCATGGGCTCTCTAAAATTAATAGAAGGAAGGCTAAAAGCAAAGCATTTATGATCATCAGGATATAAGGGAATAGTATAAGGGAATAGTGAAAAAACAATCCTTAAGATCTAGAATTATCTTAAAATATCCTTACGGTATAGCAACTGGTGAGGGCAAACCTGGCTGTAACGCCCCCATAAGAATCATAGTAGAATTAATTGCTCTTAAATCTTGCAGTAACCTCCATTTTCCTGACTTCTTTTTAATAACAAATATGGGCATGTTCCACGGAGAACAAGTCTCTTCAATGCGCCCTGCCTCAAATTGCTCCTGCACCAAGCGAGTGGCTGCTGCCAACTTCTCTCCTGTGAGCGGTCATTGATCTACCCAAACAGGATCGTCTGATCGCCAGGTTATACGATCCACACAGTTTGAGGGTGCAGGACCGTCAATGGCCGCCATTATAAATTTCCCAAACCTCGCTTATCATTCTGACCTTGGACTGGTAGTGGAAACAATTGTCCATCCTCTTTTTTTCCTAACCCCTTGCCAGGGGCATATCCTTGAGCAAGCATCTGCACAGTAACAACATCATTGGGACTACACATCACAACTCCCATTTGTGAAAGCAAATCCCTTCCCCACAGGTTTACTGGTAAATAAGGAACCACAAAAGGTTTAATCAAGCCAGAATTATTCACAGAATCCTTCCAAGTGAGACATTTCGAACTCTGTCTTGGATTTTGACTCTGCCCTATACCTTTCAAATTAGTCAGAGTCTCCACCGTGGGCCAGGCTGCAGGCCAGGCCTCAGCAGAAATAATAGTAACATCAGCTCCAGTATCAATAAGACCATCAAATCTCTTTCCATCAAGCCATAAAGTTAATGTAGGCTTTCTATGTGTAATAGCTTGAATTCAATAGGCATCAGAAGAACCAAAATTCTTATTCAATAAGCCCATCAAATCTTTTTCCATCAAGCCATAAAGTTAATGTAGGCTTTTTATGAGTAATGGCCTGAACCCAATAAGCATCAGAAGAACCAAAATTTTTATTACCTCTACTTTTACTTTGAACAGGATGACCAGATTTAACCAGAGGTACCAAAATTATTTGAGCAAAGCGCTCCCCCTGGGGAATAGTGACTATATTGCCAACAGCTCGGGCTATGATTCTAATTTCTCCAGTGTAATCTGCATCAATTATCCCAGGCACAACAGATAGGCCTTTTAGGGCGGCACTACCCCGCCCTAATATCAGCCCACAAGTATCTTTGGGTAATGGTCCATAAATTCCAGTCCCTATGGTCTGAACTCCCATCTCTGGAGTTAATACTGTGTGGGAGGAGGAACTGAGGTCCAGTCCTGCGCTTCCTGGGGTTGCTCTGCAGAGGCTAGAAATGGATTGTTGCTGTTGGCAGGAACAAGATTGACTGCCCCAAATGCTTGTTTTGGGGCCTGGGGCTGACCCCTCCACCAGTTTCCCTGATGAGGAAGTAGAGGTCTCCCTTCAATATCAGTCTTAGATTTACAATCTCAGAGCCAATGTCTCCCCTTCCTACACCTGGGACATAATCTAGGACTCTTCCCATCATCAGTCTTCTGCTGAACATTATCTGCCTTACAATCCCGGGCAAAATGTCCACCCTTACCACACTTAAAACATCCTTTGCCCTTAGTTTTATGCTTCTCGGCCAAAAATTCCTTTACCGTCTGTCCATTGAAAGCCACTGCCATAGCGAGCCCCTGCTGATAAGATGGCCCTATGTCTGCACACAGGTGAATATAACCAGTCAAATCCGTCTTTTTCCTATAAGGTCTGATGGCTGCCTGGCAGGCAGGATTAGCATTTTCATATGCCAACTGTTTCACATACTCTAGCCCTGCATCAATACTTCCAAATATCCTTCCTGCTGTGGTCATCAACCAATGAACAAAATCTGCAAACGGCTCATCGGACCCCTGCTTAACAGAAGTGAGAGAAGTTCCCAGGTCCCCTTTAACTAGAAGCTTTCTCCATGCCTTCAGAGCAGCAGCTTGAATTTGCGCATAAAGGCCCGCATCATACTGCATCTGTTTTTCATTAGTCTCATACTCACCTCCGCCTATCAACATATCAAAACGCCATGCATTTCCAGATTGTTGATTCCTTCTAGCTGTCTCCTTAAAATTGTCATAATATTCTGATTTCCATAGCAAATAATCACCTCCATTAAGGACTGCCTTTACCAATTGATTCCAATCATTAGGAGTTAGCCAATTTTCAGATTCTCCTTCTATAATAGCCACAGTAAACGGAGCTGTAGCTCCATACTGAGACACAGCAAGCTTTAATTCTTTGATCAATGGAAACTGAAATCCTTTATGATGTCGCCATGCCTGTCTCTGGTCATCCACTGTTTCCGTTACAGGAAAAACCTCCATATGAGAGGAAAACCTATCAGGGCCATCAAAATTTTCCTTATACGAATGAAGGCCAGGCCCCCCGAGAACAGGGCGAGCTCTGTTTCCATCCACTCTTCCTTTACCCATAACAGCCTCATTACCATTATCTAAGCTAAGCTTTTGTAACTTAAGCATCAGCGCCTGTCGCATCTCTTCTTGCTTAATGCATTTGAGTATCAATGACTGATGCGCCTCCTCCAATTTAATATCCTCCTGCAACTGCTCCATCTGTCCTCTCAATCCTGGTCTAGGATCTATCACCACCATGACAGTTGGAACAGGTGGTACACCATAGGAAGGAGGAGCCACAAAACCTGCCTCTCGCGGCCAGTTTGAGACCCATCCTCAGCTTTATTAACCACCCCCTCTCACAACCTCTGCCATCTGTATCCAAGACTGGACAAGAGGCTTCTGACAAAAGAGCCTCTGGTAAAAGAGGATAGATACGAACATGCTCCTGTTTAAGCTCCTGGGCATCATCCTCTCGATCTCCCTTCCCTCTGACTGACTCTGAGGACTCCTTCCTCAAGGACTCCTTCCTTAAATTTTTAGCAGAACTCTCATCTTCACTATCAAGAGAAATTAAGCCAGGAGGCTCTGGAGGCTCCTCTTTGGGAGTTCCTCTCAACTCTTAGAACTAGTTTTAAAAATTTCCTCAGCTCGAGCAATTGCTGTCACTACCGGCTCATGTTCATCTCTTCTATCTATTAATTTTTTAATCAAATTCCAATAAGAAAAAGCAGTAACCGGGACCTTTCCTGGTCCAAACACCTTATAAAATTCTTGTAATGTATCTCCCACTCTTCTCCATCTGTTTACATCTATAACCCCCTCTTGGGGAAACCATGGGCAGATGTCTTTCATAAAATCAAAAAAATGAAATAAATCCTCAGTTGTAACCTTTACTCCTCTTGCCTGTAAAGCTTCTCTTAACTGTATTACATATTTCTGATGCTGACTTAATTCTTGCCTCATGATTGAACGACCAACTTACCTGTCGGCTCGGTCACAGCAGGCTACCGCGACGTTTCCGAACTATGTGAACGGGTGCACCCCTTCTTTCTTCGTCGTCGGACCCTCACATTGTCCCCTGGTATCCAGGCCCCACGTTGGGCGCCACGCTGCGGGAGGCCACCCCACAATGTGACTCGGTTCCGACCCACAGAACTTCCACAAAGTACCTGGATTGGGGGGTGGGGCCGTGGATGAGGCAAACAAGAGAAATGGAGACAAGACAGGAGTCTGATCAAGTCTCATTTATTGAAGCTCATCAGTCAGAGCATGAGGGCTCTGACGCACATTAAGGGAGGAATCTCTGATTATAGAAGAATAGAACCATATGCTGGAAAAGAGAGCAAGGCCGTGGGCCAAGGCTATCTAGCAAGGCTATCTGGCCCCGGCTTCAAGCCAAGGTTTTGGGCCAAGGTTGTGAGCCCTGGCTGCAAGCCAAGGCCGTGGGCCCCAGCTGCCTGCCAGGGTTTCCAGGCCAAGGCTGCGGGCAGAATGGAAAGCTGCCAGCTTAGGCCTGTGAGCAGTTTTGAGAGGTAGCTGAGACTCAGTTGAACCTCAGGCTCCCAGGCTCCCAACATACATTCAGTAGAAATTGAACTTCAAACTTTGAATTTTAATTTCTAGGCCAGTGATGGTCGTTCTCTAGGGATGCTGAGCAGCAACAATGAGCCCAGCCGTCAGTTACCACATCACCAGGGTAAGCACTGCACTATGTTCAGCATGTTACACAGATTACGGGCATCTGACTCACAATGTGTCCAACTTACAAAGCTCATCTGATGCAACCCCATCATGAAACAAGGATTGTCTGTAATAGCACTCACACAGATTTCTTCCAAAATTCCTCACAGTTACAACAGAACTAATACTTTCCATCTACTTTCCCAAGTGATCTTGGCCAACATTGTAATGCTATGTAGAGTAAATACAAACTCTGTAAATGTTAAGAAATTGCCAATGGCATAATAATCATCCAAAGATCCTATGTGACAGGTAAGACTACTTTTTCTAATTAATTTGGAGTTCTTCAAAGTTGAGTGAGGTTTTTTTTTTTCCTGAAGTGTGATTTAGATATTATTTTTGTATTCAGTGCCAGCCCCATTCCTTGTGAGCTGGGTAACGTTGGATAGGTGTTTTAATCTCTATATCCTAGCTCCTGCCCCTGTAATATGAACACAGCAATCCACAGAGCAAAAGAAGGCCACTAGGGTGAGAGGAGATTTGTCATGCAAACAAGGTCACTACTGAATAGGGGGAAGCAACACCATTATGACTATGGCTGAGCTCTTAACTGACTTTTTGCCCTATTAACTTCATGAGTTCTGTTTTAAATAGGTAAGTGTCAGAAGAAGAACCTACAATGTCAATGTGTGTCCTATGAAATTGTGTCAAAACCCTAAGATATGTGCAACATAGCTGTTCACAAGCCTGTTTAATTTTTCTTTTCTCTCTAATTCCCTTTCCATCCCAAACCAGTGTTTCCTTTCTGAGCTCAAGATGGAGAGCCTCAGACCACTCTTCAATGAGTTTTTTCACATGTCGGACTCTGCTGGGTTGAGATCCATCGTGGGCATCTTGCAGACAAATGGTAGTGACCTCTCCATCCACCATCTCCTGACACAGGATATGGAATTTGTTCAGCATGGGTTTATAAAATTCACACTTGTGCTTCAGGTAAAGGAAAACATCTGTGTCAAGCACAAGTGTTTCTTGGCTTCTAACAAGCTCAGGTACGGAGGACTGGAGCGTCACCACAGAGTTCTCACTTTTCTGTGGACCCCTTTGGGGGCTCTGTCTATTCCAGTTTTTCCTCTCACTGGTATAATTGCTGCTGTTTTCTAAAGGGGAAATTGCTTTTAATAGCAAAGACTTTTTGAGCTTCATGACAGCCAGAAATGATCCTTGCACAGAGATTTTTCCGCTGGGTCCCAATGGGCTGAACTTTAAAGTTGGGATTTTGTTTTTCAGGTCCATTACCAGGCTTTCTAGTTCAATTTTACTCCGAAAAACAGACAGATCGAGGAGAGCTGTCACAGAGCTGAAGACCTAAAATTAAAAAGAGAAATGTCAACACAGCATTACTTTATGGAGCAAACAACAGAATCCAATTTTTTTTCTGACACTTTTTTTACCCAAACCTCCCTAAATTGTGCCTGAATGGTCAAGCTTAGATTTCCCAACTTCTTGCACCAGAGTATTCCTTCAAAAGGATTGCTCAGTATGGGATTCACAGCCCACACTATATACTCCAAAATGTATGGTAAAGAACATTTTGAGAAAGAAACAAAGTATTTTTCAGAATCTATCAATAGATACAAACTGGTGGTTGTGCTCCACAGACAATTGTCCCTCTAGAGTCAGCCCTACCCACCATCTTCCAATTTGAAGTTCATTAGATGGACTCACAGAAGCCTAGGCTTCCTAAAGAATACAGTGTATAAACCAACACCAAATTTGCCTCTCTTACTCCTACCCTTTCTATTCCTTCAAAGTTCCTTTTTCATATTCATCCTAATTTTTCCCCAATAAATCTTTCAGTTGATACCTCCTACCACCCATGACCACACAAAACTCACTGTCATTTCAAAGGCACCAAACAAGGCCCACATGGAGAAACAGAAATAAAACTTCAATAGGCAGCATTGGCCTGTGACAACTCTGGCTGAGAAGTTTCTATATTCTTTCCTTAGAAGTCATTGGCAAGAGCACTTTGTGTCTCCTTACATATGGAAGACTTCTCCCAGCACACCCTAGGGCCCACACTCACCTTTTCACTGAAATGAGAGACTGCAAGGTGAGGCTTCGTGGCTAGATGGTGCTTCTTTTGTCTGATGACACTTTGTGCAACTAGGTGGAAACATTAGCAAAAGGATTTGTGGTATAACACACTAATAATTACCTTAATTAACACAAGTAGGGATGTTCAATTCTATTACTTAGAAAGTAAGATTTTTTGCTACATTTTTATTCTAAATCCAATATTCAAATAACTTTTCCCCTTTTAACACATTAAAGTTCACCTTGTATGTTAGTATGATCCTAATCATTTTTTATTTTTATTTTATATGTAAGTGTCTTGCATGTATGTAAGTGCACCATATGCATGCAATGCCCTTGGAGGCCAGAGCAAGACATCAGATCCCCTGGAACTAGAGTTACAGACCACTGTTAGTTGCCATGTGGGTACTAGGAACCAAACCTAGGTCCTCTGTAAGAGCAGCCAGTGCTTAACCATTGAATCATCTCTCTGGCCCCAACCATATTTTTTAAACACATATAAGTAAATACATGAGTACAAAAAACCCTAAGAGTCAATCTACCATGCCATCCATTCCAGTCAGATGAAGACTGCCTTTGTAAACCAGGATTCTGTGCTGCCCAGGTTTCCTCCTAACTCGCTGCTGACCTATGCAGTCTTTGCTAATCTTTCATCTCTTCCCCTCTTCTAGACATTGGCAAATGCAGACCTCAGCCCTCTTTACTACCTCTAACCACCCCTAGGTGATCTCAGCTTCTATGGCTTTATAAAGATACCTCTAGTGCACCAATTCCAAAATTCTGCCTTCTAATCCTAATAGGCATTTCACTGACAAAAACTCTCCTCCTGGTTAATGCTCTCCTGGACATAATCGAACCCAGTCTTTCCCATATTCAAAAATGACATATCCTAAATGTTCACCTGCTCTGCTACAGTCTCTCAAAGGCAGCAGAGACTGGTAGTTCCTATTCTCCACAGTTTCCATGGTTTCAGAAAAAGGAGTGCCATCCTGTCTATCCTCTGCTCAGAACTCTCCAATGGCTTCCCACCTCACAGCATAAAATTTAGAAATCTTGCCTTGGCCATAGTCATGCAATATGCACTGGCTCCCAGCTCCCAGGCTGACCACATCTATTATTCTGCCCATCCACGTTCCACTCCTGCCATCCTTACCTCCTTGCTATTTCTCCAAACACTCAACATGCTCCTGCATTTCGGCTCCTTGCCCCGCACCCCAGCCTAGCCAGAATTTTTACCAGGCCTTCACTCAGCTTAGAATGTTCTTCCCCATAATTTTCAAAAATTTTTCCCTTGCTTCATTCGGGTCTCTGTTCAACTCTTATGTGAACAGGGTATTTCAGGGCCATGTTTTAGCATTCATGAAACCTTAGGTTTGATCCCCAACATTCTCCCTCACCCTCCCACCAAAAAGCAGTGTATCCCAGCCAGATATGGTGGTGTAGGCTTACAATACTAATTTTTGGGAGAACTAAAGCAGGAGGCTCTTAGTTCAAGGCAACCTCAGCAACATGATGAAATTCCATCTAAGGAAAAAGAAAAGAAAAGAAAGAGGACTGGAGAGAGAGCTCAGCAGTTAAGAGTTAAGAGCACTGGCTGTTCTTCCAGGGGTCCTAAGTTCAACTCCCGCTACCCACATGGCAGCTAACAACCACCTGTGACTCCAGATCCAGGAAGTCCAATACCCTCTTCTGACCTCGGAGGGCAACTGCCAAACACATGACTTTCAGTCACACAAACACAGACACATAACATAAAAATAATCCTTTAAATTTTTTAAAAAGAAAATATCTTAAAAGCAAGAAAATCCCTACCCATACTCTACCTAAAACAGCACCATCTATCACATTTTACCTCTTTATTATTCTTCACACTTTTTCATAGTATTTACATATTAATATATAAGTAAATGTAAGCATAAATATATAGACTTAAAGCACCAACATATTATACATTTATTTGTTTGATAACTATTCCCATAAATGTACATTCATTTTTTTTAATGGACACTTATTTATTGCTATATTCTCAACACCTATAATAGTGCCTGGCAAATAATATGTACTTGATAAATATTTGGGAATAAAGGAATGGGCCTTCTTTTTGTCTCTCTGAGTTACCAATTCAACATATAACATATTAACTTCCAAAACCACTACCATCCCTTTAAAGAAGTGAGAAGCCCTTCTTGCCATCCCTTACCTGAGCATGAACATGGAGAAGGAATGACTTAGCCTGGGAAAAAGCCAAAGGTCACTGCTGATACAGTCTCTGGGACTTCCCTTCCCCTACAAGCAGAGCACTAGCTCCTTCTCTGCTCACACACCAGAACAGAACTTTCATGTCTGAGGGGGGAGCATTGGAGACTGGTCATTTTCTGGCATTTATTTCACCAGCCTCTAAGCCTAGAGAAGACTGTCCCTCCATAAGGCTGGAGGAGTGAGCATGCTCTACAGCCACACACCGGTTGTGTCAGCATGGGGATAGGAAGCAGAATGGCTCAATCTCGTTTTAGGTCCAATCCATAGTACTCAGTTCAACTTTACCAGTAGCAAAGAAGAATGTTTACAAGTGTTCTATGGCTGTTTCCCAAGATATGTACAGATGCAAAATATTTTTTAAGTCTTCAGATCTTTCCAGTCACAACTTTATCATGAACCATTTTTATGTATTTTTGCTAATACTGGCCATTTTTCAGAATAGAATAATTTTTTTAGCACCACTTCAAACTCTACCAATCCCAAATTTTAACAAGATGAAATTTTAAGTTCACTGAGGAAGTATTTGTAAGATACAAAAAATACCTTTCTTTTCTTTGAATATTACATATGCAACACCTTTGACTCTCGTTGGATATATCACCTCTTCAATATCACCAATCTCATCTCGGAAGTAATGCTTCAGAAGCTGATCTTTTAAAAGGCCAACTGGAAGACCATCAACAACCATGGTTCTCTCAGAAGCTGGGGAGTCCCTGACTTTCAAAGCTGATGCCTGTGGAAAAACAGTAGGATATTCTTTAAAAATCCAAGAGTCTACTTAAAGGTGATGTCACACACCAGTGAGATGCAATACCCCCTTCAATAAAGGTGACAGAAAGGAAAGGGTAAATTGTCACCTCAGACCATCTTTACTAGAATTTGAGAGTCAAATGTAAAGAGTGATCCTTTTATTTTTTTAATAAACAGAAAACTGATAAATGTTTTATTTGGGGAAGGCCTAAAATACTAGAAAATGTCACAAAAATGATGAGCTATAATTGTTTTGATTAAAATGTTTTAAAAATCCTGAGCTACAGGGTTGGCGAGATGGCTCCGCGGTTAAGAGCACTCACTGGTTGCTCTTGCGAGAGGACCTGGTTCAGGTCCCAGCACACACATGGCAGCTAACAACCATCCATAACTCTAGTTCCAGGGGATCCAATGCCCTCTTCTGACTCCATAGGCATTGTACATAAAATTAAAATATTTAAAAAAAAAAACTCTGAGCTAGTTGTGAGTGTAGCTCAGTAGTAGCCAAGTCATGTGTGCAAGGCTGTGAGTTTATCAAACTAATCACAGATATGGTAGTGCCAGGGAGCTGTCTGGTTGTAGAGTACATAAGCCAACCCTTTTATTGTCAGACAGGGGAATGTAAGCTCCTGCAACAATGTGGTGGCTGCAGTGGAATACATCTCATCTTCCAGCATGGATCAGCTTGAAATCAGCCACAGGGAGTACACATTGGGCACATGGTGTAAATCCTTCCTTAGGTTTATTCTCTGAACCTCTTTGTATCTACTTCAAGGACTTCTATTCAACAACCCTATTTGTCCTCATCCCTATTTAGGAAAGTGGACCCATCAGTCTCTCTCCAAGTGTATATAGTAGTCCAGTCTGACTACAGCAAAGCTCAGATATCATCTTTCTTAATGATCTGAGGGAGAACAGGATGTCTCCTGAGCTATACTCATGGTCAACAGACCACAAAGGAGCTTTGAGCTCTTTGTGCAAGAACTGCACTTAGAAATAAGACTCCCCGAGGGGTAGCCAACCTACATCTGGCCTCCCAGAATGGCAAAAAGACAGTCTAGGGACAATGCCCTGTTTTTCCCAAAAACTTTAAACATGAAGGTAACAGAATAACCCCCCTGGGGGGGGCGGGAGGCAGGGGAGATATGACACAATAGGTACAGATTTCAACTGACTTCTGGGAAACTGAAAATACACAGAAGTGTGTGTAAAAATGAAACAGAACTAAGGCTTGCAGGTTAAAGGTGACAACCTGCACAGCAGAACCTCAGAGAGGTCACTGGTAAAACAACCATTCCAGCTGTTTCCCCACATTGCCTACCTAACTCTTATACACACAAGCTTGAGCACACATAGTACATGATGAAGGACACTGGGACAGAACCTCAGGGGAAACCCAAGGATTATTTTACTTAAGAAAAAAAGCCTAAATTAACACTCTAGGGAATGCCTGACCCACTAACTTGTGTACACCTGAACATACCCCCATTTTTCCCAGCATTTGAAAGGGGCCCCGCCTAAAGATCATAAGCAAATTAAAGTGTAGCATGATCTTAAGTAAAAAAGGAAAGGAAAATTTGACCCAGTCATTGGAAACATTTTCCTATAAGTAGAAAAGGAAAATTACACATGATCTTAGACCAAAAGGAGAAAAAGTCATCACAGCATACAATTAGACCCTGCTGTGAACAGAGTCTGCGCTCTACAATGTGCTATTTAACTTGTAGACTAAATGTGCTGTCTTCAAAATACCAAACACTTAAGAATGGCTACAGAAGAAAACGGAAATACTTAACCTTGTCAATGTAAGAATGAAGGAAAGCTAACAGAAATTAAGAAAAAAGATAGACTGCTCCAGAAACTATTGGCTACATGATAGGAAGATGCTTTAATGCAGGGAAATAAATTGTCTAGACACTATAATGAAAAATAGAAAAGCATCAGATCCAAGTGTTCCTACAACCTTGTCCCCAGTGACTCAATGTCATTTTTCCAGGTAATTCTCTTAGAAGAGGAAGAAAATGACCAAAGGGATATTTCAGATTTTCAGGGAGCTGACTTATGGCATTTATCTTGCAGCATCCTCTTCTGAAGGTCTACACCAGCCTCAGTGGTAAACATGGTGAATCACCTTCCCTTTTTTCTGTTCTTCAACGTCAAAGTAAAATTCCTTCAGTTCAAGCTCAGAATATCTTATCCCACCTCTGTGCCTCATCAATACTAATGTCCTATTTCTTAATTCAAGTATCTATACAAAGTTTATGAAAGGAACACCCCGAGCCAGTACTTTTACTGGAGAACCCAGTCTTGTTTTGTAAGATCTCACTAAATTCTATGAATGGTCTTGGGAGTTGTTTCAATGACCTGCCACATTCTTTTCACTTTCAAGCACATAATTCTCCTGAGGTCAGTTAGGAACAGAGAAAATTATTAATCTTATCTGTCCACAGTAAAGAAATAAAACAAGTAAAAGAGTACACGAAGTTGTCAGGAAAAAGTGATGGGGAGATAAAGGAGTTGGAGGGGAGGGAGTGGGAGTGGATTTGATCAAAACACCTTATACACATGTATGAAATTCTCAAGTTTTTTAAGTTAAAAAAATAATAAAGCGAGTTTCCCACAAGGTCTTCAAAACAAGAACATAATTTCAGCATAGAATTATGGAAGATGCTCGCATTTTTACTGCTTCAACACTGTATTTTAAGAGACTTTGGGCCATATCAGAAAGGAAAGGGCAAAAAAAGCTGTCAAATAAAACTTTACTATTTAAGTGAGGCTCTAACAGAAACGGTTTTTCCTTCACTGTTGGTTTCTATTTGCTTCTTCAAAATCACCTGTATATAACTGTCACCAGGTAACACACACAGGCAGGCAGGCAGGCACATCCCTTGGCTAACTGCGCCTCCAGTCACACTGAAGGTGGAAACACCAGTCTGTAGAAAAAAAAAAAAAAAAAAAAAAACAGGACTCCAAAGCGAAGCCCGGGCGCCGGTACTGGACGTCATGCTGTCCTCGGCTCGGACCCCTTCTTTCTAGCGCTTTCCAGAAAGAAGCTGCGGACTCCATGTCTGGGTCATCTGCTCCCTTCCGGTCCCTAAACCTTGCGAGAAGACAGTTCCCCCCAACGCCACCTCTCAAAGCACGGTGTCCCTGACCGTTAAGCAGTGGGTGTTACGGCCGCGCGCCCGCCGTGGTGGCACGGGCTCCGGCCGCGCGGGATATCGGCAGGGACACGGGACCAGCATCCCAGCCCCGCGGGGTCCCGCGCCCTCCGTGCGGCCTCAGACACCGAGTGGCACCGCCCTGCCCCGTGAAACCCGGAGAAAAGCGACTTGCCATGGTGGAGAGGAGACGAGTGGCCCGCAGAAAAGGCCAGACGTTGCGGCCGCCAGCTCAGGTTTTGCTTTCAGTTTTCTGTTCCCGCTCCCCAAGACTCGGCGCGCAGGGCGGTGCCGCCTCCCGCCTCCCGCCCCAGCCGAGCCGGTAGCCGGGCTTAGCAACGCCAGGTTGCACGGTGCGCATGCGCCCTCCGGGCAGGAACTTGGGGCTCTCTGGGTGATGTCTGCCATGCGCTCTGTGCAGTCAGGGCTTCCAGCGCTTTCCTAAGCTGGGTCTCCCACCCACGGTCCTCAGGCGCTGCAGGGTCCGCTTCCCCGCTCGTCACCGGCGCTGCTGACACCAGAGCCTTCGCAGGTCACAGAGCACAGGGCCAAGGAACGGCCCCTGCCCACCTACAGCTCACCTCCTGGCTAGGTCCTGCTGGAACCTGAGCCATATATAATTTATATTATATATTATAGTATAATATACAAATTATACTATAATATACTATATATATCATTTAAATATATATTAAAGAAAAGCAAATGGGCTGGAGAAAGGCTCAGCTGTTAAGAGCAGTAGCTACTGTTGCTGTTCCCAGCAGCCACATGGTGGCTAACAACTGTCTGTTAACTCCAGCACCAAGGGATCTGACATTCTATTTGGGCCTCCATGGGCATTACATGTACATGGTGCACTTAAGAAGAAAGGGGGCTGGAGAGATGGCTCTGCGGTTAAATGCACTGGCTGCTCTTGCAGAAGACCTGGGTTCAAATTCCGGCATCCCCATGGCGCCTTAACTCCAGTTCCAGAGGAAACATACTCCAGAGGCACTGCACGACAGGACACGTGTGCACTTACACATATGCAGGAATAACAATCATACACATAAAATAAATTTTAAGAAATGGTTTAAAGAAGAAAGGCAGGTGGATGACAGATTATGAAGAAACTCAGCCCCACTGCTACATAAGGAAACGCAAACTGAAATCATGGGATATTATTTTGCACCTGTTAGGTTGCCAAAAGCAGATAATGTCCAGTGTTGGCATGAATGTAAAGAACATTGAACAAGTGTTGAACAAGCATGTTTAAGTGCAAACATATCTAAGGATTGGGGCCTCTCTGAGGACTCAGAACACAGATCCTCAAAGTGCCACACCTTAGTATGTTGTGTACCTTAGACAAAGCAAAGTTCCTTGACCCCTTCCTGAGCCCTCCTGGCTCCTGTACCTTTTCTGTCCCTAAGCCAGAAATCAGAATTTATCTTCCCCAAGGTGGAACATAGAACCTAGATGTCTCACCTCAAAGCAAGCTATGACAAGGAATAGAGAAATTGTACAGGCTGGAGAGATGGCTCAGTAATTAAGAGTACCTATTACTATTGTAGAGGACCCAAGTTTGATTCCCAACACCTATGTCGAATGGCTCACAACCACCTGTAACTCCAGCCCCAAGGGGGTCCCAATGTTTCTGGCTTTAATAGGCACCTGCACTCACATGTACATACCCACACACAGACACACACATAATTTAATATAATAAAACTAAATCTTTTTTAAAATTGTTTTTATAATAAATAAAATTTTTTTAATTATTTAATAACCACATAATTGGAAGAAGCATTTCATTACAACAGCATTGACATATTCAATAACAATTTCCAGACATAAGATGCATCTCTTTCAAACTTGGCTGTAAATTTTTAGGTTTACATTTGAATTAATACAGTTATACAATATTGTAGTCAGTATAAACCCAATAAGACATAAAATTAAATGAGATTTTAACCTTTAAAAAAGATCTGTTTCATTATTAAAATACATAGTTTCATAGAGAACAATTCATTTTTAATGCAGTTGACACTGTTTGCATATGTGTTTCTAATCTCTATATATCTGTATATTACTAATCACAGTCGGACATTTTCTGAGCTCCTTGGCATCTGAGCATGGATATAAAGTCATCAGATAGATTTCAATGGTATTGTTTTTCTTTTGTGGTTGTGAACCTGAGCCTTTCACAGCTGCACCACCTCTCCACCCCACTAATGTTTTTCAGATCTACTAATTATTAAGGAGAAAAAAAATTTTTTTTTGGTCTTTTTGAGAAAGGGTCTCCCTGTAGCGCCAGATGTCCTGGAACTCACTATGTAGACCAGGCCAACCTTGAACTCACAGAGATCCGCCTGCCTCTGCCTCCGGAGTGCTGGGATTAAAGGTCTGCCACAAGGAGCAAATTTTTATGCTTTGAAGAATTTTTTTTAACTTTTTTAAAAATTTAATAACCAAATGATTAGAAGCATTTCATTACAGCTGTAACATATTCAGTAACACACTCCAGAGCAAGGATACATCTCTTTCAAAAGTGGCTGTAAATTTTTAGGTTCACAGTGGAATTAATACAGTTATACAATATTGACCTCAATATAAACCCTGTAAGATATACAATTGAATGAGTTTTTACCCTTTAAAAAAGATCTCCATTTCATTCTAAAATATACTGTTTCTTACAGAAAGACTCATTGTTTTTGCTACTAACACTGAGATGTTGGCACATGCATCTCTAATCTGTATGTATCTGATTATTATGAGTCATAATCGGTTGCACTCGGATTCTTGGCACCTGTGTATGTCTGTAAAGTCATTGGGTAGATTTCAATGGCAATGTTTATCACCTCTACTAATTAACATGATGTAAATTTTTATGCTTCCTCCTCAAATATAATACTTTTTTTTAATTTGTTGTTTTTTTTTTTCCATGTGTGTATATCACACAGAACATCCCAAACCATCTTATTCAACTATACACCAACTTCCCAGATGGCACCCTCCCATAGCCTCCCTCCTCTTACTACAGCCCTTACACACTGTTATTCCTCCTACTGTCTGGTGTGTGGTCAGCACTGCCAGCCGTTCCCCACCACTTGTCCATCTGATGAATCTAGTCGGCCTATCTAGAGGTCTTTGTTTTAGGATGGTCAGCTGTTCCTCAACTAGCAGCAATCAGTTGTCATTATTCCTTTAGATAAGATTGGGGTCTGCTGTTCATTTTCCCAGTTCTATGCTGGGTTACTATCTGGGAGTCCCTATGGCCACCCTGGCCAACAACTCAAAAGAAGGTATCTTCTTGTTTGCATTGTTGCTTCTTATGTAGCCTTTAGCTATACACATGGACTCTTAAAAAATTATATTGGCCCTTTAATCTTTGGTTATACTTTCCTTCTGGATGTTTAAGGCCATACAGTTGGCCCAGATAACCCAATTTATTGTTACTCTTAAGGTTGTTTGAGGATCTGTTCTTCAGGGGTCACACAGGCTTGAGAGGAGCCCTTGGCTCCTTTCTTTTACGAGTTCCGCCTATGTGAAGATAAATCAAAGGTCCTACTCAACCTTTGCTGGCTTGCAGGGAAGCATGGAGGAAATGTTTCTTCTCCTTCCTGTATGTCTGTGTTTGGTCTTTTTACGGTGTCACACAATTCCTGCATATTCCAGTCTTGTGATTTCTTAAATTTTTCATAATCTTTGCTTGAATGGTCTAGTTTTTCCACTTTATCTTCCAGTGTTGATATTGTTTTCCATTTCATTCATCCTATTGGTGAGGCTGTCTCCTTTCATTTCTAATTGGCTTACTGAGTGTTTCACTTCCTTCTTCATTTCAGCCTGAGTATTCTTCGATATTTCTAACTCTTCTGAATTCATTCAGTAGTTTATCCCTATCTTCCTATAGTTCTTTGATTTCTCTGTAT